ACTGAAATATGTTTACTTCAGGGGTTATTAAGTTTCCTTCCTGTTCTTCATCTCCCTTTTGTTAGATAGATATGTTATTCTTGAACAACTTCCTTTTTCTCTCTCCTTTCCTACCTTGATTTCTTCCATGTGCTCTTTCAAAAGTTTCCTGACCTCCAGAACCTTGGACTTTATTAAGGTATTTTCCCCAAAGTAACCTTTTCCTTCTCAAGTGGATCAGATTGACAAAAATGAGGTGTAAAAAATAGCCGTCATACCTGTCTGGGCTACTTAGCTGAACTAGTTTCCTTTCGAATGCTCTGCAGAAGTACTTCTGTTTGCCTGTCTGTAGCCTTATCGATCCTCAGCAGACAGTAACCACTCTTTGCCAGTCTCCAGCGTGACTTAGCAGTGACAGCTTCTCTCTCCCGACTTTCTAAGTAGCACCTCTTCGTCACTAAGTGTCATCTGTTCTCCGGTGCTCATATTACCCTGGGTCTTATTTTCATTAGTTCTTGAATTAAGTTTTTCCTTACGTCCACTAGAATCAAAATAAGCAACCTCTGGGAATTACTGCCAAGCTCGCTCGCTCTCGCTCTCTCTCTCTCTCTCTCTCTTCCCTCGAGATGGAGTCTTGCCCTATCGTTCAGGCTGGAGTTCAGTGGCACGATCTCAGCTCACTGCAACCTCTACCTCCTGGGTTCAAGCAAATCTCCTGCCTCAGCCTCCCAAGTAGCTGGGATTACAGACGCACACATCACTCCCGACTAATTTTTGTATTTTTAGTAGAGACGGGCTTCACCGAGTTGGCCAGGCTGGTCTCGAACTCCTGACCTCAGGTGATCCGTCCGCCTCAGCCTCCCAAAGTGCTGGGATTACAGATGTGAGCCACCATGCGTGGCTGACTCTTTAAACCAGTTGTATTTTATATTACCTTTCCAGAAGATATCCTTGTGTACATTTATCTGGGAAGACTATGGTTCATAATTCTGCATATTCTCTTCTGTATCCTCACTGGCATTTTGAGTATGCCACAATTTCACATCCTTGGCAAGTTTTTTTTTTTTTGAGATGGAGTCTTGCTCTTGTCACCCAGGCTGGAGTACAGTGTCACAATGTCAGCTCAATGCAACCTCTGTCTTCCGGGTTCAAGTTATTCTCCTGTCTCAGCCTCCTGAGTAGCTGGGAATACGGGTGCCCGCCATCACACCTGGCTAATTTTTGTGTTTTTAGTAGAGACAGGGTTTCACCATGTTGGCCAGGCTGGTCTCGAACCCTTGACCTGAGGTGATCCACCCGCCTCGTCATCCCAAAGTGCTGGGATTACAGATGTGAGCCACCACACACGGCCACAAGTTTTTCTTATTTAAATTTTTCTGGTGCAGGTAGCTGGTGGCCCAGCCCAAGACATCTCAGTGGTAATTAATACTACACTTAAACAGCTCCCCACCTCTGCCCCACAGAACACAAAACAACAAACACCAGGTGGGTGCTGCCAATGATTTTCATTTCTGAGAAATAATTCATAGTTTTCAAAAATGAGCTTAACAGCTGCTAGTTTTTTAAAAAATGTAACATGATTTCTTTTAAGGTTTTAATTAACAATGGCTGTGTGTCAAAAAGGTGCCTATTTGTGAGGAATTTGACTTCAGGAGAGGAAACACGTGTGCGTATCTGTGAGCAATGGAAGATCTACACTGATGGGGGCTGTTTTTATTTGGGAATGTTTGCTGGTTGAGGATAAAAAAGAATACAGTTATTACACAGTTGTTATACATCTATACAAGTAGATGCTTAGACAGCAGTTTCACTGATTGACAGAGGAAAGCCACTTTGGATACTCCTTTTCTCATGCAGGTTGGAGAGATGCCTTAGTCTCATTTCCCGGGTATATGGGGGTAAGAACAAAGTGCCTGACCTGACCGCCGCTTTTGATGGCCAGCTGGGAGTTCCGACAAATCAACCTCTCAGAGTCTGAGCATTCTTCTTTATAAAAATGGGCACAACAATAAAAAACCGAAAACCAAAAAAAGGCCAAACAATGGACCCAGGATACGCAGCCCTCCTGCGGGACGCACGCACAGGCGTGCACCGCACAGGGGAGCAGGGGGCTATCGGGGTGCAGGCCCCCCCCGACTCCCCGACTCTGCCCTGCGTGGCTCCCTACTGCGATTGGCCTGGCTGGTGGCTGTGGCTGCTGTGTCCTCGCCCAGCCAATGCCCCTGAGGATCACTCAGGTTCCCCACAGGCCTCTCCTGTTCAGTCACTGGGGCGGAACCCAGTGGCAGCTTTCTTGGGTTGTGCCTGACTGCAGCTTCCTCCCACTATCTGGGCCTGCCAGATAGCCACCTTGCTGGGAATTCTTAAACCTTCTAGAGCTCTGAGGTTTGTGTTTCTTATTTTTGAATATACATTTATTTGGTTTTAAACACATCTTCTGTCATTCTTGGGGGCTCTGTGAGTGGGAAGGAGAGGCGGTGGTGTTTGGTTGGTTAACATCATGAAACCAAAGTGTCAAGGTGTGATTTTACTTTACATTTCTTGGTCTCTAGTGGGATTAGAATTGTTTGTTGATGATATTCCTTTTATTCCTAAGGAGTTACATTTTTTTCTTTTGAGATAAGTAAGGTCTTGCTCTATTGCCCGTCTGGGGTGCAGTGGTGCCATTGCAGCTCACTACAGCTCGAACTCCTGGGCTCCAGCAATCCTTCCTCCTCAGCCTCCTGCAGTTAGGACTACAGGCATGTGCCACCATGCCCAGCTAATTTGGGGGGAGTTTTGAGGGTGGGGGTAGAGACAGGGTCTCACTATGTTGCCCTGTCTTGGCTCGAACTCCTGGGCTCAAGCAATTCTCCCACCTAGGCCTCCCAAAGTGCTAGGATTATAGGTGTGAGCCACCACCCCCGGCCACGAGTCACATTTTAAACATGATCCCAATGATAACTTCGATCCTTGAAATGAAAAGGCAAAAAAAGGCTAAGGAAAAGAGTTCAAATGATGACATCTGAGTGTGTTACACACCATGAGCGCTAATATTCACAGCTTACCGGGGAAGGTGCTGTTTGCTTCCGCACTGCTCTGAGAGATCAAAGTTCTTCCAAAAAAAAAAAAAGAAAACTACTCGAGATTTACCTTTCTTGCTATTATCTACTTATTCTCCCTTTCAGTAGCCCAGAGTGTAAGGCTGATCCCTTTTTGGACAATTTACCAATAGTTATCTTAGTGTCTTATCTTACTTCACGGCTACAAACTCGCCCATCTCCTTTGGAAAGTCTGCTGTTGCTCCTCTTATCAAGTGTGCACCCCAGGTAGGGAGGACAGCCACCTGTGCTTGGAATGCTATTTGCATTGACACAACCCAGCGGTCCACCGTTGTTGACTCTTAGTAAGCTTGAGGGAACTAAAACTCATTTTTTAAAATGTAGTTATTTTATTATTTTTCTCCCAATTGTGAATTTGGATAGCTTTTTTTTTTTTTTTTTTTTTTAATGTAGGAACCTGGCTTTACGTTGTATCCCTATTATATTTTGTGTTGTTAGATTCATCCTACCCATCTAGACCGCCAAAGGCTTTTGGGTCCTGACTCCCATCGGATATTTTAGCTCTCCTTCCCTGCTTTATAACTTTCACAAATGAGAAGAGTCGGCCTCTGAGCCTCACCCAGCCACTAGTAAAATACTGGAGAGAGAAGGCCAAGAGCGGAGCCAGGCGGCACATTTCCCTAAGAGCCAGATTTCAGAGAGGAAAGTGACCCCTGTGGCAGAAAGGACAAAGTGGATGACCTGTGTGTGTGTGTGTGTGTTACTGGCAGTGCCTTTAATACAAAGCACCATGCTTTTTAAAAATATGAAAGTGCAGGAAATTTAGCATATCAAAAATCAGGCTTGTGCTCAAAGCGGGCAGTCACAAAGACTGCAGACTCCTAAAACGGGATGCTACCCTTGGGCTCTTCCTGCCTGCATTTTGCCTCCCTGCCAACATGAGATGCGAGTGAGAAGTGAGGGCTGAGTCACTGTCACTCTGCACCTGTTCCAGGACTGCTCAAGTCTTTTACCCACTTCTAGAATAGAAAAGAGGTCAGTGTGGAAAGAGATGATTCTGGAGAGGGCTTCAGTGCGCAGTTATCTCTGGAGAAAGCTGTGCCTGACTAATGCCCAGCCCGCCTACCAACCCCCACAACTTTCCCCCAACCCCACCCCATCCCAGACGCAGAGGCAGATGCCAGTCACGCACTGCAACAGAAGCACTGAGTCCACGTTTGACCACGCTTACTTCTATAAGGCAACTGAGGGTCTTGGACAAATAACCAATCATGGTCTTATCCTCAATTTACTTAGGAAGATTTTTTTTTTGGACTTCTATGTTATAATTTTTAAGCTAATATCTGAAGATATAGAGCCATTCTTTCTATTCATCATTAACAAATCTTCTAAAATGTCATTATATATACTCAGATTATATATGTTGGCATGTGGTAATTGACGTGTTCTTTGAAATTTTAACAACTAAATAAAATTAGTGTTTAGCTTAGTTCCCTAGGTTGTTATACTCTAGAACTGTTAAGACTTATAATAACATAAAAATGCCTCATCCTCAGTCTTTATCTACTCTTTTAAAACAGACTTTAATAAAATGCGTCAGTGACTCAACTACCCACATCCATGTGTCATACTTAAAGGGTAGATAACTAAGAAGAGGCTGTTACCAAACAACTTGGATTTTTATACTTAAGAAAATTATAGAGAAAACATAATTTTACAGAAAAATATATAATATAAAGTAATTTAGTGAATTAGTCTTGAATGCAAGAAAATTCACTGTTATTTTTCTTTTCGTTCTCTTTAGAAGGTTTTCCAACTGATAGCCTGGAAAAACAAATTATTTGCTGAACTTAGCACTTCAGTTTTCTCTTATTCAGGGGAGAAAACTCCCCCATATAAAATGTAAAACAGCTTAATATTTAGTTTTGTAACTTAAATTGATTTTTCTTTTCCATCAAATCAAATGCAATGGAGCCGGAGTTCTGTGTTTGTCACCAATCCTTTATTGAAACTGGTAACTTACACACTTTATAATAGAACAACAAAAATAATGTTCAATATATACAGCCTTTGCATGGACTATTAGACTATACACAGGCAGAGTGATAACACAATCTAATCTTCATCATCATCTGTGCACAAAAAGACACCAAACAGACAACATGTGCACATCACAGTGAAATGACATCACAGGTCCAGTGAAAATTCAGCATAATACAAAACGGACTGCTCTATTGCAAATGACATCTTTCTAAATGCCCAGCTCTTACTCAGTAGTAATTTACCCAGAGTCTGAAGCAGAGATTGGTTGTGTGGCTATAAGTCTCTTCAGAGAGACAACTTCTGCAGATAAGTTTGCTATCCCCTGCTTCAAATACAAATTCTCTGGGCCAGAAACTTTGTAGCCACTGTCTTTCATTTCAACAACTCCAGTTTTGAAACTATTCTGAGTTTTGCCACTCAGTTCTTTTTGATGCCAGTGCTCCGATTTGAGAGACCAATCTTGAATGTTAGTCACTTGCACTGAGAAAGGAGTAAGAGAAGAATGTACCATACTTGGGGCACTATGCTTTTCGAGTTCAAAATGTCTTTTCGATGTCATGTCAATAGGGGAGGAAAGTTTTTGCGTGGCCTCAAATTCATTATCAAAGGCTTCTACTTTGATCTGCATGGCTTTAGCTTTGATCCGGAGCTTGTGTGGCAAGGCAGAGGAATTCACTTCTGGAACTTTAACCACCGCTGCATGCACGTGCTTGAGTTCGACTGGAGAATGGATGGGGCCCTTGGGGACCTGTTGCTCATCTTCGCCATCAGATGACTTTCCTACCACACCATCGTCGGTTTCCGACGTTCTCGGGGAGTTGCTGGAGGATCGGTTGACTTGCAGTAGTGGGGGAGAGTGTGAGTATCCAGAAAAAGAATTCCCCATATAGTTTTGATAGATGGATGCTGTGTAAGAGCCTCGGTCATCTCTCGTCTCCCTTGTGTAGCTCTCTAATTCCATCGGCTCTTGCTTGATAATCTGGAACTTGTTTTCAGGACTTCTGCAGCTTCCCTGCACGGAGCTCTCCTGCGTGTGCTCTACCGAGGACACTTCGGAAACATCGGACAACGAGCTTTGTGGAGAGTGTTTAATGACAGAAATACAACTGCTCGCCACCATCGAGGGTTCGTGCTCGTCCACAAATGAGCTCACACTGGATTTGGAAGTCTGGTAATCTTGAAAGTACACAGCTGTAGAATTACTGAGTTTCTGAATCTCTTGAGCATATGCTGTGGAGCTAATTAAACCAAACTTTAATTTTAGTGAAAGCAGCTCAGCTTTTAAAGTGGCGTTTTCTTCTCCCAGTGCAATTAGTTTGTTCTCTAAAACCAGGTCATTCAGTCGACGCTTCTCACGAGATCTTTTGGCAGCTTCATTATTTTTCCGCCTTTTTTCCCAGTACATAGCATCTTTCTTTTCATCGGGAATGAACTCCCGTTTCCTCCGACACGCAGAAGATTTGTTTTTCCCCACACTTCCTTCACTGAGAAGCAGCTCCTCACCTGTTGTGGAGTCTTCAGACACTTCCGTTAAAGCAGAATTAAGGACCATCATCTTGTCCACATTGCTACTGGCATCAAGAGATGCCTGCTCCTTTTTGATGGTCTGCATTTTTCTCAGCTGCATCAGAAACAACCTTCCCCTATAGATGCGTGTAGGAGAACAAATTAATTTCCCCGTATTCTCAAGCTCTTTAAAAACTCTGGTTTAAAATCCATCAATATTCTTCCTTTTGTTCTACTGTCTGGGATAAATCCTTCAGGCTCCTTATTGAATGAAGCTGGGCCTCCGTGGTTATCTGCAATACATGAATAAAAAAAAAATCCCAGTTATTCATTGGATAAATGTTTATTACAAATTATGTTCAAGGAAATATGCTAAGCATGTAGGGCATACAAGCACAGATGAGGCACGGCCACAGTTCTTTCTTTCAACGAGTTAGCATTCTCAAAAAGGAAGTAAGTTCCCAAATACCTAAACTATAAAGCTGTAAAGGACAAATCCCTAATGAGACCTATCAGTAAGAGAATATGTGGTCCAGGAAAGTGAGGGAAAAATAACCTCTGCCCAGAGAGATATAGAGGAAGGCTGTATTTAATGAGGCAAAATGGAGAAATAGTTGGGTGTGGGCAATTACAGGAAGGAAATGACAGATAACCTCTGGTTGGTTAAGTTTCTAAATAGTACATGCATACCGTGGTGCTTCTAAATAACGTTACCTAATATTTACATCACTGCCAAGCAATATGCTCACCTCTTAAAAGGGACTTAACCAAGTAAACTTTAACATGAGTAAAAAAAAGTTCTGCACTCCTATATAGAATACAATATAAATGGAGACAAATTTCTTCCACAAAAACTAAAGTAAAAGCCACATTAACAACGGAGCTGTTGGTTTTAATCTACACCTTAACGTGGACATAAACCTGCCCATCACATCCCTGACTGCCTGGTAGGCTTATATTCCAGCAAATTCCACCAGGTGACTCACTGCAACTCAATGAAAAGGATTCTTCTCAATCAATCCACCTCTTTACAAGCATCTGAGTTTAAGAGATTAGAATTTTTTTTTTCTGATTCCTTTGAATTGTTCTATCAAACATTCAACATTGAAATATCCAAAATACTTCTTGTGATCCTGAAAATTTTGTCAAAATAGATTTCAGATTTCAGTTACATAGTAGCTTTGAACTAAAAAACAGTTACTAGGCCAGGCACAGTGGCTCACGCTTGTAATCCCAGCACTTTGGGAGGCTGAAGCGGGCAGATCACGAGGTCAGGAGATCGAGACCATCCTGGCCAACATGGTGAAACCCTATCTCTACTAAAAAATACAAAAATTAGCTGGGTGTGGTGGCGTGCACCTGTAATCCCAGCTACTTGGGAGGCTGAGGCAGGAGAATCGCTTGAACCCGGGAGGTGGAGATTGCAGTGAGCTGAGATCACACCACTGCACTCCAGCCTGGTGACAGAGCAAGACTCCATCTAAAAAAAAAAAAAAAAAAACCACACACAAAACAAAAAAAACACTATTTTATTCAAAGGGGTTTTTTAAAGTATAGTGCATTCTTGAAACAAAATTATTTTAAACCAAGAGAATATAGTTACAGAAAAAAATTTCTTTCATTTATATGAATTAGTTTCAAGCAAAATATAAGAACTCAAAAATAGAATCATTCATTAGTTTCCTCTTCCACTGATGAAATACTTACAGTACAAATTTGGCCTGACGATTGCCTTAGCTTGAGTTAATAAAATCCATGTTATGTTCCAATAGCAATCGTTGCATGGGGGCTTTTGAATTTAGCTATGTTTCTAGACACTGATTCTCTGCCTAATGTTCCAGTTGGTAATACTTTTCGTAAAATAGACGTGGTACAACAACGGTTCCATCAGCACAATCTGCACACAATAGCACTTTATCCTACCATACTAAAAATATGTAATGAGCCGGGTGTGGTGGCTCGTGCCTGTACATCCCAGCACCTTGGGAGGCTGAGGTGGGAGGATCACCTGAGGTCAGGAGTTTGAGACTAGCCTGGCTAACATGGTGAAACCCCATCTCTACTAAAAATACAAAAATTAGTCAGGTATGGTGGCAGGTGCCTGTAATCCCAGCCACTCGGGAGGCTGAGGCAGGAGAATTGCTTGAACCCAGGAACCCAGGAGGCGGAGGTTGCAGTGAGCCGAGATGGCGCCCCTGCACTCCAGCATGGGGGACAAAAGCGAGACTTCGTCTCAAAAAAAAAGATGTAATGTTCTTACATGATGTCACTATCTCTTTCTTATGCCTAGTTTCATAATGACTAATAAAGTGAAGTTTACTTTTATCAATTGGAAAAGCCTGCCAGCTTCTTTTGTCTTTTCCAGAAGGAATGAAAGGAATTATGTAATAATTTCAGGATCATAAAGAATAATGTTTCATGCCAGGTTTTTGCCCATTAAACTGAGCCAACACAGTTAAGGGAACAGCTAGTCGTAACTCAGAGAAATTTGTGATTATGAATACCAAGTTTCTGTTCTTTGATAATGAAACTTTAATGGGAAATGAAGGCAAGGAGTATGTCACAGTCAGCAATGATGCTGCAGAGAAGGAATCTTCCTATTTATCATTTAAACAATATTATTTCCTTTTTCTTTTTTTGATACAGAGTCTCACTCTGCTGCCCAGGCTAGAGTGCAGTGGCGCAATCTTGCCGCACTGCAACCTCTGCCTCCCGGGCTCAAGCGATTCTCCTGCCTCAGCCTCCTGAGTAGCTCGGGTTACAGTTGCACGCCACCAGCTAATTTTTTTGTATTTTTAGTAGAGACAGGGTTTTACCATGTTGGCCAGGCTGGTCTTGAACGCCTGACCTTAGGTGATTCGCCTGCCTTGGCCTCCCAAAGTGCTGGGATTACAGGCATGAGCCACCACGCCCAGCCAACAATACTGTTTCCTCTAATTTGCATTTAGGTTTTATCCTTTAACATGAAAGCCCAGTTTCCTCCACATATTGAATGGATTCTTTCCTCTGTTGAAGTCTGTACTCTGCCATTCAGCAAAGTCCTCCTGCTGAAGTAAAACGAGTGGAGAAGAAAAGAGGAAGAGATCCCAGTTAAAGACGACTGCACTGACCTTTCCCAAGGCACCTTTCAAATCTCCACTATAGTCTCGGCCACTACTTTTTTCCACTAAACATCATATGATCCCTTGCAGACTATTAATTCTGGTTATTTTCTCCACTTGAGAATCTTTCTCTTTCATGTGTTATCTTATTTGTTCCTTCTTTAAAAAAAAAATCAGACTCCTTTATTTTGCCTCACTTACTAGTTTTTACAGTAATGCTTTTGAAATGCCCCACCATTCTGTCTGTCTTAGTTACTCTTCCTAAACTTCGAGGACCTTTCAAGGTTGGGGCCCAATTGGGAAGGAGCCTTCACAATCCTATTTCTATTTAACTAAAATAGCCCCATTTGTGTTAAAAATTCCTTAACTCGTGTCTTCTAGGTGTCTAAGTACTATATGTCTACTTTATCATCTCTACAACTTTGTTGGTACATTAAGACCTACAGAAAACCTCATTTCCTTTTCACTCTTGTTGCCCAGGCTGGAGTGCAATGGTGTGATCTTGGCTCACCACAGCCTCCACCTACAGGGTTCAAGCAATTCTCCTGCCTCAGCCTCCTGAGTAGCTGGGATTACAGGCATGTGCCGCCATGCCCAGATACTTCTGTATTTTTAGATGGGGTTTCTCCATGTTGGTCGGGCTGGTCTTGAACTCCTGACCTCAGGTGATCCGTCCGCCTTGGCCTCCCAAAGTGCTGGGATTACAGGCGTGAGCCACTGCACCCGGCCATCTCATTTGTTTTTAATCATCTTCTTCCTATTTGAATTTCATGACATGTCACTATAAATCTGTGATTCTTCTCTCATCTGTATATATTACATTCATGGTCTCCACAACTCAGCGGCAAATCACCATACTATCTTAGGATATTTTCTGTAATATTATGTATCAAATAATCTTGCAGTGTTAAAAAGAGTTTATCAGCATTGTGGGGTGATACGGAGAGAGGCATAATCACATACACTGTGTGTGTTTCCACATGTTTGTCTTTTGTGCCCAACGACACTGGGAATTACTTCAGGGTGCAAATTAAAATATACTTGCAGTCTTCCAGCAAAAACCTGAAGATATTAGGTGCTCAACATTTCATTGACAGTCACCCACATACCTTATATAAGAGAGTTTTGTAACCAGAAAACTTTTTTGATGCTTTCTTTTAATGTTATGTGAATTGTAAAGAAGATATTTTACTTATTAACAGAGAGATTCTCTTATTCATTAATTGGTTTATTCAACACATATGGAGCACCTACTGTGTACTGGGCACAAGGGGAGACTGGGGGCACATAAACAAGGAGAGGAAAAACCCAACTCCCGAGACCAGGCACTCAGTCGTGGGTGGGAGACAAACAGGTGAGTGGAGGGGAACCAGGTGTGAGTGCAGAGCTGCACAGACATGGGCCTGGGGTGCAGGCTTTCTTCCTGTCATGGAGATAATAACAAAAGCAATCATAATAGGTGCCATTTATTGAACACTTACCACAGAACGGGCACTGGGAGCCTGACCTGCTTTCCTTCATTCACTTTCAATGACTATTTTCAGATAAGAAAACTAAGGCTCACAGAAGTCAAGTGACTTGCCCAGTGTCACACAGCTAGTTAAATGGCAGAGCTTACATTCCGGCCTAGTTCCTTTACTCTCTCCTACACTTTCACAGGTGGTTCTGCATCTGTGCAATGCAGTCTTATTTACACACAGTTCTCTTTTGTGTCACTTTCATTTCTAAGTAATACACATCCCTTTACTAAGTTACTTTGGGCGCAGTAAGGCACTATGCTAGCTTAACTTTTTTTTTTTTTTTTTTTTGAGATGAAGTTTCACTCAGGCTGGAGTGCAATGGCGTGATCTCAGCTCACTGCAACTTCCGCCTCCCGGGTTCAAGCGATTCTCCTGCCTCAGCCTCCCGAGTAGCTGGGATTACAGACATGCGCCACCATGCCCAGCTAATTTTGTATTTTTAGTAGAGACCGGGTTTCTCCATGTTGGTCAGGCTGGTCTCGAACTCCCTACCTCAGGTGATCCGCCTGCCACGGCCTCCCAAAGTGCTGGAATTACAGGCATGAGCCATCACGCCTGGGCCCTTAACTTCTTTTAGATGCTGTCTTAACTTCTTTAAGCCAGCAAAGATACTATCTAGAAGTTTTCTCCATCCTCCTTAGAGATGTTTCAGATCTTGCACTATTTATGCAT